AGCCACTGTCTTTCAGGGAAGAGGTCAAAAAAGCAACAATTTTTCAGTGGAATGCACGGGGACTGAAATCACGCATTGCAGATTTCCGTCGGTTCGTTTCCACCAATATGTTTCCCATCATCGTCATCTGCGAGCCAAATTTATCCAGCGCTATCAGACTCTCCGGATACGAATCTTTTATGTCGGCTTGTTATAGTGGAAACAGCAAGGTCCTGCTGTTTATTTGACGTGACCTGACCTGTATTTTTCGGCCTGTATCACCTGACAACGATAACCAATATATATGCTTAACAGTGAAGAAAAAGGGTCTTATTGTCACTGTTGTCGGTGCATACCTGTCGCCATCAAGTAGATTTGACCACAAAAGACTAGGACACATCCTATCATCCACTCCTGGCCCATGGGTGATCATCGGAGACTTCAACGCCCACCATACGCTATGGGGGAGCCCGAAGATCAGCGCAAAGGGTAGAAGTCTGATAACGTTTGCTTCAGACAACGAGCTGTGCTTGTTAAATGATGGCAGCCCAACATGTTTACGTGGTCCTGGATACAGCAGTTGCCTTGACTTGGCTTTTGTTTCTCGAGGCCTCGTCAGATGTGCCGGATGGTTTGCGGACATAGAAACACATGGAAGCGACCACATCCCCACATATGTCAAGATCAGAGGATTATCACCTTGCAAGGTACGCTAAACTATCCAAAGAGTGGACTGGACCAAGTTTGAATCTCTCATGGAAGAACGCTGTCAAGAGAACACCTCATTTGACTTAGAAGAGGTGATCAAGTCCACAGTGCAAGACACAGTGTGCACCCTCACGTACTCTTCGAGAGTAACCGCATTTGATGTGGAATTAGAACGACTTCGGGCTCTCCGACGGCGTGCGGAACGAAGGTACCGACGCACGAAAGCAATCGACGAATTAGGAATCGCTAGACGTCTTCAGAATAAGATACAACGCCGCATAGACAAGCTAGAGTCACAACGTTGGGCAGCCTTCTGCGCTTCGTTAGATCCTCGCAAGCCTTTATCACACTTGTGGAGGACAATAAGAGGGCTCCGGACAGCTCCCATTCAGCGGTCTCCATTCAAGGCTCTAGCCCTCTCTCAACAGAGATCGGAGGTCGACGTGGCAGAAGAGTTCTGTGCCAACTTATCTGGTCAACTCGCAGATCCCAACATCTCCACGCTCTCACGTGGTGGCACGACATCACACGTTCACCACATAGACCAATTTTTTTCTATTCATGAGCTTAAAGCAGCACTGGCTTTGTGTAGACGGACATCAGCACCCGGGCCTGATGGAATATCATACAGAGCACTGTGTCACCTTGGTGAGTGTGCGAGGACTGCCCTCCTCGAGATATACAACGATTCGTGGCGAGAGGGCACCGTCCCAGTTAACTGGAAGACCAGCCGTTTGGTTCTATTACTGAAGCCTGGCAAGTCACCATTGGTGCTCACATCATACCACCCGATTGCACTGGCTAGTTGCTTGGACATAGTGAGGGAGAGGATGGTACTTGGACGGCTAGAATGGTTCCTGGAGCATCACAACATCTACCCGGACGCTATGACGGGATTTCGCCGTGACCGGTCATCAATTGATAGCGTCATAGACCTGGTCAGCTACGTGCAAGACGAAAAAAGGCCGTAAGCGTCTCTGCGCTTCTTTATTTCTTGATGTTAAAGGGGCGTACGATAACGTCACACATGAAGCTGTCCTCACCGCTCTCAAGGAGGTAGGAGTGGGTGGTCGGATGTTTCAGTAGCTACGCAGCTATCTCTCTGAGCGATCCTTTTAGGGGCGAAGCTCCTTAGGGCGTGGGCTGTGCGTCCCCTGTAGCCTGTATGTAGCCACCTCTAGTTTAGTTCTTGCAGTGTTCATTAGATGGCGGTACCGTCCCCTGTATGTGGCCACCTCTAGTTTAGTTCTTGCAGTGTTCACTAGATGGCGGTACCGTCTCCTGTATGTAGCCACCTCTCGTTTAGTTCTTGTAGTGTTTACTAGATGGTGGTACTTGTAGCTGATGATGAAAAGATGCAAGATGTTATAAACTAGAAAGCGGTACTTGTAGTTGATGAAAGACGCGAGATCTTATAAAATAGGAATGATGTCACATATGGCGCGTGTCATTGGTTGAAGGCAATCGTTCGATTTAGTGCGGCGACGTACGCTAGGGGGAGCGATGTAATAAAATCGAGTGGGCAAAATGTACAGAGGATTCATGGTTTACCAGGTTTACCTCCGGAGCTTCGCCCACTCATCATCATTCACTTCGTGGATATGGCGGAATTTTTTCGTGAGAACCGAGGATGGTGATACTTCGCTACATTACAGCCACCGTGGTGTTCCCCAGGGTGGCATACTTAGCTCTGTACTATTCAACCTGACGCTAATAGCTCTCAATGAGCATCTGCCAAGTACTGTCAGATTGTCAATGTACGCGGACGACATCTGTGTTTGGACGTCTGCAGTAACACGTCTACAGCTGCGAGCCCAAATTCAGAGAGCTGCCGCTCAAGTTGCTATTTACCTCCGTCAACGAGGTCTGGAAATATCCTCTGAGAAATGTGCACTTGTGGCATTTACGCGCAAACCAATGCAGAACTACAGCGTTCTGATAAACAGCAAAAGGATACGTCACCTCCGATCATACAAGTTCCTAGGTGTTATAATTGACAGAGATCTTTCATGGAACTCACATGTATCATACATGAAAAGGCGATTGACAGGCATCTGTCATTTGTTCAAGTTCTTCGCTGAGAAGAACTGGGGAATGTCCACAACTGCTATGTTGCGACTATACATGATTCTTTTCCTTGGATTCCTTCGGTACAGCCTACCTGTGTTGACCAATGCAAGTAAAACAAGCATACGAGTGCTTCAAAGTGTCCAGGCTCAAGCACTCCGGATATGTTTAGGCTTGCCCCAAAGTGCGTCAACAGCGGCAACTATCGCCATCACAAGGAACAACCTCATCAAGATCCACATTAATGTGGAAGTGCTGAGGACACATATACGACACCTTGCTCGAACCCCTCGACATCACCTAGCCTCTCTACCAGTGGTCCGACCATGCACATCTTACTGCAAAACAGTGACCGCACATGGTGAGTCGATCCCAACTTCGTTCTCTCCTGCCGCTAGACCTGTGACTCCGCCATGGTGCCTCGCTCAACCAATGATTAATATTAACATACCTGCGTCCAGAAAAAGGCCAATTTGTCGTCACCGGCTCTTAAACAGCTCACACTACTTCTCTTGTATGAGAAATATCAAGACTCCACACATATATACACTGACGGATCGGTTCAGCCGGACAGCTCTACAGGAGCAGTAGTCATACCAAGGTTGGCCACGACAATTAAATTCAAGACATCTCACGCAACAACATCAACGGCAGCAGAATTGGCAGCACTTCGTGCCGCGTTGCAATTTGTAGTTGATCAACCTACACGCAAGTGGACTATTTTCTGCGACTCAAAGGCGGCACTGCAGTCTCTACTATGAGCCTTACGCCGTGGACCACACGAGCAGCTGGTACTAGAGATAGCAGAGGTTATACACCACCTGACTGAGAAAGGGCACCAAATTACATTTCAGTGGTTGCCCAGTCACTGCGGAATCATCGGCAATGAACGGGCCGATCAAGCTGCCCGCTCAGCCCACACAGAGGATCATAAACTGCGACTACCACTTTCTAACAGATGCTGCACGAAAGCTCCACAGGCTTGCTCGCCAGCAAACCACATCACAATGGAATCAGCCACACTTCAAGCATGCCCGACTGTACTCGCTTGACCCTACACTAAGTCTTCAAGTCCCGTCGAGGCTTTGCCGAGCAGACCAGACCCTGTTATGTAGGCTGTGGTTGGGCGTTGCGTTTACCAACGCCTACGCTTTCCGCATTGGGATGGCCGACACCGCAGCCTGTGGCCACTGTGGCAAAGAGGAAACAATTCAACATATTCTTTGTGAGTGCCTAGCGTATAGTAAACAACGACTATGCCTTCGCAAGGAACTCAACAAATTAGATGATCAACCTCTGTCGGAGCAGGGAATTCTGCAGTATCGTCAGGATGCGACTTCACAGAAGAGGGCCCTGAAAGCGCTACGAAACTTTTTGCGATCGACCGGCCTTACTGAACGGTTGTAGCTAGGACGCCCTTCCAGTGTGTGTTTTCGTTTTTTTATGAGTGTGCGTGCGTTTTTTTGTTGTTTTTTCTCTCTATCTACCCCCTCTTTCTTGCCCCTACTTCCCCGCCCCCAGTACTGGGTATACCAAACCAGATGCTAATATCTGGTTAACCTTCCGGCCTTTCCTTTCTCACTCTCTCTCTCTCTCTCTCTCTCTCTCTCTCTCTCTCTCTCTAGTCACGTATCACCCTTCTCATTCATGCTTCGCATATCATTGATTGCCACTGTACGTGGGATCTGCCAATTCTTCATTGTAATGAAAATGGAAGATCTAAGTTCTAGCAGAAAAAAAAAGGAAATTAATGTAGACTGATTCACTACGAGTCTGCATTGTTGAGAGCTTGCTAATTGATTGAATTGTGGGGTGTAACGTTCCAAAACCACCATACTATTATGAGAGACGCCGTAGTGGAGGGCTCCGGAAATTTTGATCACCTGGGGTTCTTTAACGTGCATCCAAATCTGAGCACACGGGCCTACAACATTTCCGCCTCCATCGGAAATGCAGCTGCTGCAGCCGGGATTTGATCCCGCGACCTGCGGGTCAGCAACCGAGTACCTTAGTCACTAGACCACCACGGCGGGGCTAGAGCTGGCTAAACATACATGCTGACATAAAAGGACTATGTAATCGGCATAATATTGTATATTTATCCTAAATTTATCTCTTTCGAATGTTGCCAAAGCTAACGGCAACTTTTTGAGCCAACGAAAATTATGGTATACCTTACCGTGTGCTTGCAATCTACTATATAACACTATAAACAAATCATGAATGAGTCAATAGAAAAATCTAACCTTTATGAAAGCGTTTTTATCATCTTCCTTTCGTTTTCCTCATAGGCATCTTCAAACCTACAAAGGAGAGACAGATAAACAATTAATGTCAAGAAGTTGCCGTGTGAAGCTGAAGATCTGGTGATAAAGTAAACGCGATAGCATGGGAGCTGCCACTGCATAAAGGAGTTTTCCAATGTAGCTATATTCCAGCTGTAGTAGTATAGACTGTGTAAAACGCATAAAAAGGAGGCAACTTGACAATTAGTTTGGAGGTTATGAGTCGGCATTCCTTCAGCCATGTCTTGAATGGACGGATGCATGATTGAATGGCGTAACTTTGTTATTTAGAGCCCTGAGGTACGTTGAAAAACTTTTAGTGTGCCACGTTTTGGAGCCACAGTAATAACTACTTTGACTGCTTTATTTCGTACAATACACCAGTCTTACGGCCCACATCTAATACACGTATAACACAAAATATTATACCGAAAAAGACAGGTTATGTCGCAATTGAAAAAAAAAAGAAAGCTGATGCCCAGTGGTTTAAAAAACAAGCAATGAAAGCTAGCTGTTCATAGTCGAACTAAACTTTCACATGGTGGTACTGCGGAGATTGACAACGCGAGGAGCCATGATGGCCAGTGTGTAACACGCATTTTTCTGCCAGTTAACGTTGCGTATCATGTGACGCCAACCGGCAGCTCGTAGCTGACCATAGTTCAAGACCATTGTATCATGATATCGCATTGAGTTCTTGTGTACATATATCCCAACATTGTCATGTATATTAGAACAAATGTCTTCACTGTAACGTAGTGATGTTAGTCGTGAAACATAGATGTGCCGAAGTGTATGTGCCCTGTTACTGGAATGGTATGAAGCCTTTGTGTTCTGCACATGCTGTAAATAATTTTTTTTCTGAACATAATTCCTCGCATACCACCTCAAAGCGTCCAGTCTGCCAAAACGAGACCATCGCTAAGAATGAAGGAAAAGAGAAAATTTTCAAGGAACGTTTTTTTTTTTGTCTTTTTTGTTAGATATGAAGCAAGCCGAGGCACGATATCACGCATATAGGTTTGGTATCAGCCAGCGACATGTTATCTTTCCGTCCACTTTTGTTTCTCCACATTGCCATTACAGTTTCTACTAATAACAGCCTCTAGACCCTCCATGACACCTCGTCACTTAGTTCTCAATAATATTGTGTCTAACAAAGAGAAACGCGCTCTTAAATTTTTCCTTCTTTTCTTCAATAGTAGTAGTAATTGTAGTAGTAGTAGTAGTAGTAGTAGTAGTAGTAGTAGTAGTAGTAGTAGTAGTAGTAGTAGTTCTTGTTGTAGTATATTATTTAGATTATCTTGTGCTAGTTGTGATCACTACAATCAACCACGTAACACTTTCTTGCGAACGTTTGTGTTGGCACTACGACATATTTCGGCTGCGCAAATACTTATGAATGGGAAAAGAAAGCAATAAATCAAACCAATTGAACAATAAAGAGCGGAATGCCACTGCCCGCTTGTTTTCTTTCCTTCGTTACTTCCTTTATTTTTCTCTCCCTTATCCGACCTTTCGCACCACGAAAACGGTGTGGAACGCTACAATCCAGGAAAAGCTTTCTGCGCACCTCAATGACGAGCCCCAATCACGGTCTCCTCCACGTCGTTTAATGTCATCCCGTAAAGAAGGCACTGAACAACTGTGCTGCCTCTTCCCGCGCTGAAATCTGCCTTGCTTGCAGCCCAACATGTGCGCCCGTACAGCGAGTGAACGAGGACTATCAGTGTCAACCTGCCACTGAATTAACAACAGAGGAAATGAATAACGACAGGTTTATGCGAGAGGGGGGAAACGCAGAGGCAAAGAGAACAGAGAAAACAGCGGCTGTGTGGGATACGGTGCGCGGGGCCATTCCGGGGATAAGGCGTTCGCCATTGGTTGCTTCCGCTGACTACGTCACGGAGATGGAAAGGTGGCAGCAAAGGAGGAGGGTTTATACGGGTTAGCCGTGGTTCGAAAAAAACTGACTTTTTATTGCACCTGCTTCGGTGATCAGGAACGTTTGCCATGTGTCGACTTCGTCGAAGATGAACGATCGCTTAACCCGGAGATCAATAGAGAAAGCAAATACGTTCAAATCACTCTCAGTCGGGTTAACGTAAAACTGTACAACAGCCATTGTTGTCATGGTTTTTCAGCAGTATCGGTCCAGATTCAGTCCAATATTGGTCCAGTTTCGGTCCAGTATCGGTCCAGTATCAACAGTGTCGGTCCAGTATCGGCATACGGAATTTCAGTCGACTACGGAACCCCATGAACTACACGAGGCATGAAACTCGACGAAGCATTACCATCTTTCAACAGTGCTTAGGGTGAGTGCATAACTGCCGCATCAGTTTATATCATTATCAGCCGGTACTTAGATAAAAATCAAGTTATGAAAACCATCACTTTCAGCAATAGATGTTCGAAAAGCACTCCCTTCGGCGATAGCATTTCCTCAAGGAGGCTGCTTTTGACTATTTTTTGTATAACATTCATGTGCGCGTACTTGACGTCAGTGCGAGAAAGAATATACTGTCAAACACGAGTATATATTACTGATTTATGCCCCTAGTTTAACTGTTCGCGTGAGTGGGTTCAATCATCGCAACCCTCATTGCTGTGGGGAAGAGTGTGATTCATAGCTTATCCCAACTTTTTTATGTCTGTTAGCCTAACTAGTCATTCTGCATAGCATGCACAAGTGTTGTTCGCAGGCATGAACTGAAGTCCATATTTGCTTCATCGATCCTACAGAAAAGAATTCTCGCGGGCGCGAATTTTTGGTCTAAACTTGCTTAACTTATAAACTCAGATTTAGCCTTAGGTCATAAGAGCCTAAATAACTACCAAGTTTGATTTTTAAGTATAGTTCAAATAGCGCGGCGGTGCAGGCACTATGTTAGTGGTAAAGTCCTTCTTTAAATATTCGTTCGAGCTGATTTGTATGGTAAGTGAGAGAGAAAGTCACACTCGAATAATAGAAGTAAGGTCACGGGCCCTGCCTTAGCCGATGCGAAGCACCAATTTGTGAACGCATTCAACGCAACAATAATTTGATGAAAGTTGACCTTCAAATTGAAGGTGTGGCACGAAGTTCATGCGCAAAATCGACATGAACACGCTTAAATTGTGCACTGTGCATTAGCTTTAAATTTAAAAAATCACAGCATATTCACGAACTGAATGATGATGAGTGGGGCGAAGCGTTCATCCATCCGTCCGTGAATCCATCTGTGAGTCCATCCATGCGTCCATTCGTGCGTGCATCCGTTCAGGCGTTCGTTCATCTGTGCATGCGTCCGTCTGTCCATTCGTCCGTCCGTCTGTTTGTCTGTCTGTCCGTCCGAGTGTGCGTCCTTCCGTCCATCAAGTACCACCATCTCGCATCTTTTCATCATATATTCATCATATATAAGTACCACCATCCAGTGGACAATTCAAAAACTAAACAAGAGGTGGATACCCACTACTACTACTACTACTACTACTACTACTACTACTACTACTACTACTACTACTACTACTACTACTACTACATACATTGCGGACGCACGACCCACGACATAACTAGCTTCGCCCCTAAAATTAGCAGGTAGTCAAAGTTAGTCCAGAGTCTACGCACGACGACGTCTTTAATCATTGTTGTCACGAAACTCCCCAGAAGCTGGACAGCATATAACCGTTAGCTTAGTCCTAACAACAGAAATTAGTTGTATATGCAACGCCTCGGCGTTCTCTCTGCGTGACAAGGCAACTCAAGTCGCGTTGTGCCGAGAGACGTTCAGTGCACGTTGCTTTGCGTTCAAGGAAGTGGCAGCTGCTAATACAACGTTTAGTGTGTTCACGAGGTGAGTGACCCAGCGATGTGACAGTAACGGATTATTTGACGACAAGTGGTTATACACAAACGTGCGGTTGGAACGACGGATGTGTCAATGAAGAATTTCCCTTTTTTTTCTTGACTTACTCTTTAGTTAGTTCTCAAGAAAGACGAATTGCAGATGAGTCTCATTGATGTCCACAATGTTATTACGACCAAATAGAGTTCTTCGGGAAGCAACATATTACATAAACATGTTTGTACGTGACTGGAAAACTGCATCACGCCTTCGGCTTCCCACACACATACTTTCAAGTAAGGAAAACCTTAAGGGCCTGGTGTGTCGTTTATCCATCTCATTTGGCGGGATCCCGTCCACAGTACAGCACTCAATGCAGGCCGTAAAAAGACTAGCAACGCTCAAAGACGGGTTAAAACGAACGAACAAGGTATAAAATACGACAATTATCGCAGAAGGCACAAGAGCCACCGTAATAAATAACGTAAAACCACTAAAACGTTAGGGAACTTGGTGCTGCCTTCAGCGGGGGGCACGAGTGAGGGCGCCATCGTGACGCCGGGAGAGCGAATGACCCTTCGCCTACGTCTGCGTTGCGTTTGCGCTGCGTCGCTAATGGCATCTGATGGGGAAAACAACCTGACATAACCTGCTGCAGATGGTGCGCATTGCAGCTGCAGTAACAATCGGAAAGTCGATAAAGCGCAGCAAAAAGTAGCACACCTACATGTCAAACCGAGTTTTCAAATGTGCCAAACAATATTCTACTAGTGCCGCGGAAAGCCTACGTATTTACCTCAAACATTGGCGTCATTGCAGTTTTGATAAGCGGAGCAGTGCTAACTCTACGAACGGGAAGTGCGTAAGACGCACTTCGTCCGGTTTTCATAGCAATGCAGCTTCCATACGCGTTTGTTTGTTTATTTTAGACACTTATGGCGCCAACGAACCCTTGTAACCATGTCAGTTGAAGCGTCACACGTGCGATTGTTTAAAATGTTGTACCCCCGATGTCGGCCACTCGTGTAAAAGCACAGAATCGTTGTTGAACGTGGAGATGTGAAGGCGGAAGGACAAGTTTCGAGGCTATGAAACCTGCAGCAGGTGTTCTGAAAGAAGCGCAATTACGGCATTTTGTTTAAAAGAAACAAAAGAAAAAAACTAGTGCAGCTCTTATTCGATGTCATC